CCCCCCCCCCCCAGCTGAGATATCCCTCCGGACCTTCAGCTGCTGCCTGTGGGAGCCCAGCCAGCCCTCTGGCGCCTCCACACTTCCTACCAGTCTCAATGTGGCCTCCACTTTTCTCCTTTGGTTATGAGGGTGCTCTCCAGCTCGTCTTCAGTTGCAGTTGATTATTCAGGGTGGTTTTTCTATATTTTATTTGTAATTCCAGTTTGGTCCTGGGAGAGTGTCGGTGTAGCTTCCACTCTGCTACCATCTTGGATCTCTCTAGAATCTGGCTCTTAATTCGTATGTTAGACCGTCTGATTCATGACCTCTATTTATAGTTATTTTATCTTTCAGGAATCCTAATTTGGTAAGTTTCTTGCAAATTTTTACTAACTTCACGAAAGTGTGATGTGTATTGGAAGCATTTTGCCTGTGCTTTCCTTTTTTTCCTTTGAAGTTACAATGCTGGGAGGGAAAATTTTTGCAGGGGATTAAATTTTAATTATTGGGTATTTGATGAGGTGAGTGAATTAAAGATGAATTGTTGACTGGAGTGGCATTATTAAAATAAAAGAAGAAATGAAGTCAGTTGTCTGATCATTTGGTTAACACTAGCTGNAGATGAATTGTTGACTGGAGTGGCATTATTAAAGTAAAAGAAGAAATGAAGTCAGTTGTCTGATCATTTGGTTAACACTAGCTGTAGTTGGCAGGGACTGTGGGCTAGTTCTTACCTGCTAGGAAATGAATGAATGAAGACTGTTCAAGAGTGAATCTTTTAAATGAGTGAATAAACTAAAAGGAGAGGGTATACGGAGAAATGGGTCAGTTACATGGAGTGTAGAATATTAGGTTAATTATACTCTATCTTTGGAAGATTTGTCTCCATAACAGTTGTTTAAAGAAAGGAAAAAAAGTCATTTGAAGCTCATGTGGGTAGGTAGTGTATAAATTAGAAGGAGCAAGTAGATAAGATTGTGTGGGGGTTTTTTTGTTTGATTTCTTTGTGTCTTTTTTTTTTTTTTTTTTTTTTTACTTTGGACCACATCTGCCGGACACCACCCAGTGCCTTGATACCACTTGTAGTCAGCAACGTTTATTTAAAACTATAGCTAGGAAGGTAGGTCATCTAATTTTAAATTAAATCCTGGATTCACGGTGTGTTAGTCCTGAATGACAGCAGCAAGTCCTGGATAAACTGTGTTGTTTGATATTCAATAAATTCAACTAGTTTTTTCCTATATAAGGTGAGCGATTAAGACAAAATCATCTTGAAAACTAAAGTGGCCATAATTCTTTATAAGGAAAAGAAGGAAAGAAAAGGAAGCAATTGAAGGGAGAACATACAGTAGACAATGATAATGATGTTTCTTCAAACTATCTTTTCCTTTTGGTTTCTGTGAAACCATTTTTTACTTTTTTTCTTACTTCCCTGGCCTCTTCTTTTTGACCTTTGATGAACTCATTCTCCCCTGTTCTTCTCATCTTGGTGTTTCCCAGGACTCCAACTTCAGTCTTCTCTCTCAGTATATTCTCTTTGATCATCTCTGTTCAGATAAAAACAACACTTTTTTTTTTTTTTTATGATATCAAGTGGACATCAGTCTACTTCATTTGGACCCAGGAAGAGAAGAATCCCTGATGATCTGCTGCTGAATCATCCATTTTCTCTGTTTTTCAAGGGTCGTAAGAGTGAGGCTGAAAAGTTCTTCTTGAAGGCTATTGAGCTGGATCCCACCAAAGGAAACTGTTACATGCACTATGGTGAGTGGTTGATAGTTTTTTCCATGTCCCCCACATTTCCTATTAATGTCGATGTGAGATTTAGGTTTTGCTGGCAAAGAACATTCTGAGAGGACATTGACTTTGTTGTTGCCGATTTAGCTTCATTCCATAGTCTTACCTTCTCGTTCAAAATGGTCATATTAAAGAGAGCTATGCACTGTGCTTCCCTTTAGTAATTTCACAGGACTTCAATAGGGAAGGCATTTTCACAGTTGTTCCATTCAAGATCAGTGTGGAGTTTACATGAGGTCTCATCAGGAAAACATCTCACTCCTTGCCTGATGCATAGTGTATAATTCAAACGTTAGCTCTCTTTTCATTGTAAAAGATAATGCAGTGCTTGTGGAATGTACATGTTGAGGTTTTAGAGGTTTGCATTTTGGCCTCAAAGTCTTGCTTTCTGGAAGATATGGATGCCCACCAGCCTCTGTGGGCCTGAGGTTGAGGTCAAGGATAAGCTCTGGAGGGTTAAAGGATGGCTCTCTCATTCGGTATAGCCTTGGCCTTCACCATTCCAGAGTGAGCTTACATAACAACCCTGTCACACTCCCCTCTATCATTAGTACTGAGTCATGTGTTAACTGAGGCGAAGTGATACAGCTTGTTTGGTGTTGTGAAAGATGTGCTTATTTCTACCAGATTTGCAGTTGGAATGGCTTTCAGGAAGCCAAAAAACATTTACTTTTGCCGATCCCTTCGGGGGAAAAATGTTTTTTGACCACTATTTATTTATCATCAAGTAGTAAACTTAAAGGTGGATGGAAATGAAATCTTGAGAAAATAAAGCTAATATGCTTATACAATATTTAATTTATTTTCTCATTTTCCAATGAGTAAAAATAAATCAGTGAGAGGCCATGAGTGTGGAAAATGGAAATAGTAAAATGGAGATGCACTTAACCAACCACAAGTCCATTTGTTTATTTACACTGTATGGATATGTTTATAACCTAGGTTTGTGGTGCTTTATCTTTCCAGCATAACACAGCATGTAATTCCATGCAACTTACTGCCTAACCACTTCTGCTTTTGTTTCACAAGGAAGTTTTATGGCCATATTAAGATAGCAGTCAACTAATTTAAGTTTGCTACAGAATTTATTGTTACAGTTTTCTTATATGAAGTGTTTTAACTTAAAATTTTCTCATGCATACTATTTGGGTACCCCTACTGTGCACTCAAGTAGTCAGTGATTATTTTCTCTGAGTGCTGCAGAACCTCCTGTCATTGCACCTTATGAAATAGGATTTCTTTTCGTATCTTACTGACTGCATTTCCTTTGCCTCAGACTAATTCTGCTTACTACATCTTGCTAGGTTTGTTTCCCATAATTTTATTATGTGCTTTAGATTTTTCACAACCAATTCCTTTAAGCTTTATCATTGCTTCATTTGAATTGAAATTGAAAAAACTCACTGTTGTATTAAAGAGTTAGCCCCCTTAGTCTCCTCTTATTCTGACTGGTCTGTCTTTACCCACCTCTATCTTTTTATTATTATTATTATTATGTTACATCATGCTCCTGGATTTTTTTTTCAGTGGTGGTAGTCGGGATCTCCCATGAGAAAGTTTTGGATTTAGTTTTAACAGAAAGTGCAACAAATTCATTATTGTATATGTTATTTGGAAAATGGTGGTTAACACATGTTCTGTAAATGCATGGGTTAAAAACTGATTCTTTTTAGTACCCCTGGATTATTTAAAAATTTTGGTATGCATACATTATTAGAAGTACACTTATTTTCTGAAGGAGGAATGACTACATAATTCAGTATAATTTTATGAAATATTTTCAGTGCTCTTTCCCCCACTCTGGTTTAGGAAATGGAAGGGACTCAAGATGAGGCATCAAAAGGAATAATTACGGCAAAATAATCTACAAACAGGCAGGAAGCCCATAACTGAGTGATTGAAATTTCTATTTTACTGTGCTCAAGTTATTAAAAATGCACATTTAAAGGAATATTAATGACTTTTAATGTAGGGCCTATGTACTTCAAATGACTAAAATTTAGAACTGGAAATTTCTTTTAAAATTATCTAACATAATTTGTTATGTACATTGAAGCCTAGAAAAATGAAGTTGACATGCCCAAGTTAGTTGTAGGTAATTAAATTTTGGTTTCCTTAATAGGTGTTATTGCTTTTTCTTCTATATGTTCCATTTCTTTTCACAACATTGGTAGATAGACAAATGAGTGGGTAAGGAGATAGATATTTTTGATTAGTAGGCCCTTCTGGGCAGCTTTAGAATGTCAAATCCATATAAGTCATGACTTAGCTTAAAATCCTTATGGAAGGGTTTTTATTAATGTTAACATGTATAAGATATGTATAATAGGTGCAAGACACTGTTCTGTTTTCAGAAAGTGAGAAGGGTTATGTGGGAAATAAACAGAATGTTGTCATTTTTAGGAGCTGATGAGGTGAGAAGTCGGGTATTTGTTGAAACCAACTAGTGAGGTAAAGCATCTTTGAGGAGATAATTGAAATCTGTGAGCTTAAGTCAGCTATTCGAAGAGCCAGACAGAAGAATTTCATATAGAAGAAAGAGTAAGTTCAAAGGTTACAGGCAAGACCAAGCTTACTGTCACCGAAGAAAAAGAAGGGTGGTGTGAGTAGGAGTAGATTGAAAAGAAGGGAAAGTGAAAGGAGATGAGATTTAGAGGAGGCAGAGGTGGAGCCCATGGGGCCTTGTAGACCAAACTAAGGAATTTGTGTTTTATTATCCTAAGAGCAGTGGAAGGGACCCTGTGGAAAAGACAGGATTAGAGAAAGGTAAGAGTAGAGCAAAGGGAACTCTATTGCTGTTTTAGGCAAGAAATGATGGTGGCTTGGACTAGGGAGTGGTTGTAGGAATGTAAATATTTATATTGAAATCACACATTTACCTTCTTTAGAAAATTCTAAGATAATTAAAAACAGGAAGGACCTGTTTTCTATTTTGCACCATCGATATCTAGTATATTGCCATATTCATTGCAGGAATTGTCGGTTGAACTCAGGAGTGCTAGTTTAGAATTGGATATATGTTCCAAAATTGACTGAAAGTGTATTTTGTTAGAATTTTTATTACTTCTTGTCCAAGAAGATACATACTATGATTCTCATATCAGTTCTTCTCTGCAACTTGCTGTGTATAGATATTCTTGGAATGTTTATACTCGTGGATTGAATGAGTAATAACACATCTTCAGCTTCAAAATAAATGTATAAATGAAATATGCATGTTGTTCTGAATCTTTTCAAAATGCTTTTTCACATGCCAATGAAGAAAATGCAGACTGGGTAAGTTTTGTTCCATTGGAAATTCACTATCCTGGGTGATTTTGTGTGCCTTTTATTTGCTTATTGATGATACAAGTGACTTGGAAAATACCATACAGTTGGGACTGCACAGAGAGAATGATAGGAATTTATATTGGCTGCAATGGCAGTTAGACGGGAGTATTTAAAAGCACTATCAGTTACTTGTATTTTGAATCCACTTGTTTAAGTTTGGGGGAAAGGGGTTGCATTGTAGATTGCCTGTTATTATTTAGATTGCTTGCAAGAAAGAAAGCTAGGCAAGTTTATAAAACTGGTTCAACAGATTGGTTAAATGTCTGACACTGTGGTACCTGTATAGTCTCTGGGATGAAGAGTCCTCATTTGTGGAGTGATGTGGGCTTACCGAATGTTCTCCAGCACTCAGATTTCACATTGTTTCTAATATATACTCAGTTTTTCATTAATCTTTCAGCAAAAATTTTAAGGAATGGTAGAAAATAAGTTTTAAACAAGGGTATCAGTGGAAGCATAATGTCTTTATATGCCATCAAGCTTACAGTGTATTCCATTGTCCATATGAAACAAATCATGCGAAGTTTTTATGGGATTTAGTTTGTAAATGTCAAAGGTGAGGATTTGATGCCTTTTGCTCCTGTGGGCCTGTAATTCAAGGGATTTTCCATGGATTTTCCCTATGATTCTGCTAGGAAGCTTCTGTCAAAAGAATGACAGTCAAGACATGGAAAGAACCTATTTTAAATGTTTTCTTTATGTGCATAGCAGTAAATTTTATGTAGATTCAAACAACTTTAATCAATAGACATTTGTTATAAGGTACCTACTATGTATAAATCCATACAAATGGGAATTCATTCAATATTAATGACAAAAGATCAAAAGTTGAAAGGGAGCAGATGGTGATAAACCCTACTTAGAAGTACTGTTTTATGTAGACCTTATATGGGTTTCTTCTTTTCCCATCTACCTCTTATCCATGTGTTGCTGAGTAAAGAGTTTAGCTTCATTGTCTTCATTATTGATAGATGCTCTGGGTGATGTTCATTTCCAAGGGTTCAGCTATGTTGTGACTTATCCTGAACCTCTTCCTCCAGCTCAGTATTTATCAAGCACTATACTAGGTGCCAGGACATGGCAAGGCATAAGACAGGTTCCAGTGGAGATTGCAGATTGGTTAGGGAGGAACAAATTGTGAAAATAATGATTTAATAACAATTGCAGTTAGTTTTTAAAAGGAGACACAGTATAATTAAGGTGCCTTGACCTGGGTGGCGGGGGTGCAGAAGAACTATGCCTGATGAATTTACACATCAGCTATATTGGAGTGATGAGTGTGGGTTCACCAGACAGATGTATACAAATGAGGGGTGCAGTGGAGAGCACTGAAGAACAGAAAATACTTGGGCAAAAGGCATGGCCTGTGCCTGGGAAGCAGTTCAAGGACAAAACTAGAACCATAGCTAGGAGCTACGAGAAGTACATTCTGGCTTTATAGAAGGGGTAACATCCAAATTATGAGAGCTCTCAGTTTATGAAATGAGTGTATTTCAAATGTGGGTTTATAGGGACATTAGAGAGAATTGACACATTTGCAAAGGAGAGAGGGCTGCTCCAGACAACCATGAAATCATGTCTAACACTGAAGATATTCTATCATTATTCCCCTCGGGCCCACAGAAAAGTATAGAAAT